ATATATATATATATATATATATATATATATATATATATATATATATATATATATATATATATATAATGTATGTATAATGTGTATGTATGTATATTATTATGTATAATGTGTATGTATGTATATTATTATGTATGATGTGTAACTTCATTTTAATGTATATTTTGTTGGTTAGTTATCTACAGCATAAACGAGAAGAAGGAATTACATCTAAATTAAAGCACTTTAAAACAAGCCTGCTATAGTATATGCTTTAGCGCCAAAACAGTCCATTAAACTATTTTTATGGTTTCATTTTAATTGAATAACGAAGCGCGGTCTGAGCAGCATGAGCTGGGCAGTCTTTACAGACTATTCGCAGCACTTATAGTATTGTTAGATTACCTCGGAAGAATAAACTCAGTCTGAAGGATGAGATCTCTGAAGCTCATTGTGTAAATGGAGAGGCTTCCCGCATGTTTCGTTGTGTTGCGCGATTTGTAAAATGAGAGTCTGCATAAAACTATTCATGCTAGTCTGTCAAACAAATTTGGTTAAAAGACCCGCAGATATAACGGACATCTGCGCATAACAGGGTTTTATGCGTCCTGCAATATGTGATGTCAAGAGGGTGAATGCATAAGTAAGGTAAACTGCACACATTTAATTATGTAATGCGTGGACGTGTCTCACAGCGCAAAGCATAACTAAACCTTACATGTCCCTGCTTAATCAATCATCGATAAGGTCCATCGATTAAAGCGTTATCGACCATTAATAGATTATCAAGTAATCGTTAGCATCTCTAAATAACATATTTTGCACCCTAAATTTACCATACTCTACATTAAAAAGGGAGTTTATCCAAAACTGAAAATTCTGCGACCATTAACTCACCTTTTACTTGTTCCAAACCGGTTTTATTTATTTATTTTTTTCTGATGTTGAACAATAATATCCAATAACTTGTAGGTAATGTCTTTGGTTGTTGAAAACTTAAAGAGTAAATGCTGAATAAAGATAAGTCCTTTTGTTTATTGTTTTATTATTTATATTGTCAGACAGCTAAAACATTTAATAAAATGTGTTAAATCCATTGCACAGAGCGATTGGCATGCTGAAAATCTTATAAAATTGAAACATATAAAGATTTTACATTTATCGTGATAAATATTGATATCGACTGAAATAAAAAAAAAATGTTGTGAAAAATTTTTTTTTTGCCATATCGCCCATCTCTACCTCAGATTCAACAAGACAATAAGAATTAATAATAGAATGTGCTTTAAGGTTAATTGCATGTAATTCTGCAAATATAGTCATAATTGCTATAGTAAGTGCACAGAACATTTGTAACAAGAACATCTTAAAATAAATGTTTTGCAACAATTATACATCTAGAAAATTAAATATGAATCAGTTTTTTCATTTTTTTGACTAAAAGTTTCCAGCTAGCTCCCTTACAATATTTTTCATATTTGCAGACAGAAACAATGTTCATATTAAATACACGTTTGTAAATGGAAAATGTGTGCCCTCCGTTTTGCATTTTGTGCTCAGCATTTGTTAAAGGCACTTAAAGTGATGGAAAACAAGGACCAACTGGCATTAGTGTCCTCCCACTGGCCTTGGCCACCAGTGATCTGCAGAATTTGGTTATATTGGGTCCAAATGGCAGAGGTGATTTATTTTGCAGAAATGACCAGTGAGGAATGAATTCGCATGAGGCAAGCAAGTGTGTGACACGCACAATTGTGTGCACAATAGGCAACATAATGAACATTCATATTGGAAATTAGTGACCCTGAGTGCTGTTTGGTAAAAAGAGAATATTCAATCACATTAAAGACACTTTAAAACAGGAAGTTCAGCCTGCCAGCTGAGATAAGCTTTAAAGGCAGAAGGTATTTGTCACAGCAAGTCCAATTAGTCTAACCACTTTGAATGAACTGAATTGGTAATTACAAAGTTCTTTTTTAATCATATGTTGTCACTTGTATTGTTTGAAAAAGCTATATATTTTTCACAGGTTGACCTAACATGGGTTCTAACACTTTCCCTATAGTTAATGAAAGGTAGTTTTTGTCTAGAGGTAGAAGACACTGATAATACCCCATAGTGAGATGAAGAGATTTCCTCTCCATTATTCATAAATGACAATGTCTGGTTTTGCATTTCTTGCTGGAAAATGTTTTTGTTTTCTCATTCATCTGATTTACAGTCAGACGGGAAAATGTAAATGTAAAACCACAAGCAATGCAAAAGCAGTAATATTGAAAGGACTGTACTGGCACATCATTCTGTATCATTTTGAGCATGAAGAAGTGGTAGAGTTTCAGAGTTTTGTTCAGTAGTGAAACATCAGTTTAATCTTAACAATACCAATTCCCCCAAAATATATATACAAAAACTCACAAATATCATACTTCTGTGATTGTATTTCTCTTTGCTTTCCCCTAACATTTAGTCATTTAGTAGCACTTTTTTGAATATTTTTTTTGTTTTTCTTTTTAGATAGATAGATACAGTAGATGGATGGATAGTTGGAGTCAGAATTATTAGCCCCCTTTTAAATTTTGTTTTCCTTTTTAAATTTTTCCTAAATGATGTTAAACAGAGCAAGGACAATTTCACAGTATGTCTGATTATTTTTTTTTTTTTTGGAGAAAGTCTTATTTGTTTTATTTCAGCTAGAATAAAAGCAGTTTTTAATTTTTTAAAACCCATTTTAAGGTCAAAATTATTAGCCCCTTTAAGCTATATTTTTTCGATTGTCTATGAAACAAACCATCGTTAAACAATAACTTGCCTAATTACCTTAACCTGCCTAGTTAACATAATTAACCCAGTTAAGCCTTTAAATGTCACTTTAAGCTTTAATTGTCACTTTCAAGTGTCTTGAAAAAATATCTAGTCATACTGTCATCATGGCAAAGTAAAATAAATAAGCTATTAGAAATGATATATTAAAACTATTATGTTTAGAAATGTATTGAACAAATCTTCTCTTTGTTAAACAGAAATTGGGGAAAAAATAAACAGGAGGGCTAATAATTCCGACTTCAATTGTAGATGGATGGATGGATGGATGGATGGATGGATGGATGGATGGATGGATGGATGGATGGATGGACAAACAGATGAATTGATTGAATTGGAAGATCAAAAAGCAAATGTCTTTTAAACATGCTGAAATTATAATTCTCTTGTCAGCCACAGAATCTCTGGATTTTGAGACTCTGCCAGAGGATTCTGGATCTGAGGTGGTACCCGAGACACCACCCCACAGCCGGCCTCAGGAAGACGAAGGGTCAGATCCCAGCGAACCCAGCACAGACAGCACAGGTAACCAATACCTTAAACCAATAAACTTCAACTTAGAGAAATGTAAGGTCCTAAAAGTATTGAAAAGTCTTAAATGCTATTTCACAAGGTATTACATTTTGTATCAGTTTGCTAATGTTTGCCTAAATTTATTCTTTGAATATCAGGATGCTGTGTAGTTTATGAAATCAATGAATCCTACTAGATTTGACTTCAAGATGCTTTGTTTACTGCAGTAACCAGGGAAACACTGTTATTCCTGCTGTTAAAGGCGCACCCTGCTAAATTAACATTTTTATTCAGTATATAATACATTGTTAGTTTAGGATTCGTTTCTTGCAATTGGTATTTAGTAAATATACTGCAACTTACAATGCCGGCAATGTTACTGCCTGAAACCTGAAGTGGTGATGAGGTCTTAAAAAGTATGGAAAGAGTCTTTAAAAAGGTCTTATAAGAAAAATCCATTCTCTCATTTCATGTATATACCCTGGATGAAGATTTTGATCCAGGAGCTGTTGGTCAGTCAGGATTAGTTTTATGAGCACAAATAAAGTGATAAAAAACTTTCTTATTTTACAATATCAATTACCTCTGCCTTTAAGTTTTTTTGTTGCTAGGATCAATTTAGAGTTAGGAAAGTGTTTTTTTTTTCATGTCAAAGAAAAGGCATTCAAAACCAAGCAAAACCCAATTTATGGACCACAGTTGTTTTAATCTTGGTGGCTGATACATTTATGGGAATCAGTACTGGATATGTATTAAATTTTAAAAAAAGCACAGTTGACAAAGCTGCCATGAAAAAATTGTAGTGAAAATCTATATTAAACTAGAGTTGCAGTAGAACTGAGCAACTTATTTTGGAAGTGAAGCAGCATGCATATCATTTAAGCCATAGAGGATGTTTTCAGTTCAAGGAAATGAATGTAGGGGAATATTGGAATGCTGATAATTTGCCTTGGATACAAATGGGTGTTAGCATATCATGCAATCAGTGCATATACAGTTGAAGTCAGAATTATTAGCCCCCCTTTTTAATTTTTTGTCTTTTTTTTTTTTTATCTTTCCCAAATCATGTCTAACAGTGCAAGGAAATTTTCACAGCATGTTTGATAATATTTATTCTTCTGGGGAAAGTTTTATTTGTTTTATTTTGGCTAGAGTAAAAGCAGTTTTTATTTTTTTAAAAACATTTTAAGGTCAAAAGTTTTAGCCTCTTTAAGCTTTTTTTTCCGATAATCTTCAGAACAAACCATCATTATACAATAACTTGCCTAATTACCCTAACCTGCCTAGTTAACCTAGTTAAGCCTTTAAATGTCACTAAGCTGTATAGAAGTGTCTTGAAAAGTATCTAGTCAAATATTATGTACTGTCATCATGGCAAAGATAAAATAAATCAGTTATAAGAGATGAGTTATTAAAACTATTATGTTTAGAAATGTGTTGAAAAAAATCTCTTTAAATCTCTGTTAAACAGAAATTGGGGGGAAAAATAAACAGGGGGGCTAATAGTTCTGACTTTAACTGTATTTATGGTTTGCAATCAACTGTCTTCTTACAAGCAGTCATCAGAATGCTACCTTCCTGTGAAGGAGATAGATGCACATGCATTTAACTCTGCTTTGTGTAATTGCATTATATTAATAATAATAAACACTGAGTTCTTAGCGAGTCTGTCAGTTTTGATAATTAACATTAATGTCAAATTTTATGTGCATCAGGTTTAAAGGCAGATTTTGCTGCTGAGTGAGTGGTAAAAAGCAGACAGTTAATTGTTAATTAAAAGCTACTTACAACATGACGAACACATCAACCGGATGAACATTCCACAAATCTGCAGCCTGAATTCATTAATTATAAATACAAATGCACACATGCTTAGTACATCACAAGCTTAATAACAACAATTACTGTAATTATATCCCATTAATCCTTTAATACAGTACATCCAATGCATGTAGTAACACAATACAATTCATATGTATATTTCCCAATCCTGCCAAAATACCATGGTGCCGTTGCTGGTACTACAGGAAATCCATGGTAAATAGCCTTAAATAGATCATTCATGGCAGTGTTTTTCCTGCCTTTGAGAATGTCAGCGCTGTTCCATGGCTTTAAACTAAACCACTGAGACTGTTTGTGTTTTCAGTGCTTCTCTTTGAGCGATCAATTCGAGACCGATCCGCATGTAAACAAGCCGAAATTTGTGCTGTTGGGCCCGAACAGATAAGCAGTCAATGGGGCACAAACAAGCAGCGCTGTTTAGTTCCTCTTTGAAGCATGAACATCATCTCAAACAACTGTTATCGTTTTATTAAGGGAAAGTTGTGATATAACGTGTTAGCGTTTTATCATGTGATATAACGTGTTAGCGTTTGAATCAAAACCACACTGACATTTGGACAGCGGCAAATGCTCCCAGTCAAAGCGCTGCTCAATTGTACATTAGCACGTTGCATCACAGCCACTCGCGTTCACAAAACGAATGCAGGAAAAGTAACAATATCAGTGCAGATTTTCATCCATTGCAAAAGAAAGCAGACGCTTGAAAGGCTTGTTGATGCTGATGCAAACTTCTGAAACACTCACAATAACTGTACTTGATCCAAAGCGCCCAAACGCTACAATGATCAAAGAAAAGGGTAAGCACAAACAGTTTATGAATAATTTAGAGTCGATCGTGGCGTTTTAATTGCACCTCACCTTCCTGTTATATATTAGACCCATACAGCATGTGTCCAGGCTGTAAACCTGCTCTGCAACAGCTGTTTAGAAGCCATTTGATTTGTGTAAAATGCTGCCAAGACATAAATCTCCCACCAGCACCAAACATTTCGCTGTCAACACAGCCCGCAACTCCTCATGCTTTGTAAGCTCTCAATTTCACTTTTTCTCCTAAAGGCCAGCCAGCCTTATTACTTTGTTCCTTCCTGCTAAAGTTTATTGATCCCAGAAAGCAAGTCGGACTGTTTACCCTGCGCTCTGGTATTTCTTGAAGAACTCAATAGTCATATTCTCTCCCTTTCTCCCTCTCTCTCAGGTCAGGCTGAATATGTTTCTCGTATCCGAAGGTTAATGGCTGAGGGAGGCATGACTGCGGTTGTCCAGCGTGAGCAGAGCACCACAATGGCGTCCATGGGCAGCTTTGGCAACAATATCATCGTCAGCCATCGCATCCACCGAGGCTCCCAGACAGGAGCGGATGCACAAAATCGTACTCGTTTAAGTCCAATACCTGGTCCTTCTTCTGGTGCTCCGGAGTCTTTAGCTGCAGCTTCGTATTCGCGCGTCCTCACTAATACATTAGGCTTTCGTGGCGACACAGCTCAAGGCATAGATCTCACAGAACAGGAGAGACTGCACACATCCTTCTTTACACCGGAGTTCTCTCCTCTTTTCTCATCTGCTGTCGATGCAACCGGTCCTTCCTCCTCAATAGGAGCAGACAGCGTCCTGGAGGGAGAAGACTTTCACGACTTTGCGTCTCTCCCTCCATCTTTACTCTCATCCTCGCCGTCTCTTTCACCAGTGAATAACAGTAACTACAGCAACAGCGATAGTAGTTATCTTGGAGATGAGTACGGGCGCTGAAAAGCCTGCAGTTTTAGGAGAACTCCTAATAATTTGAAGTCAATCAAGAAGAGAGAAGGCAATATTTACATTCAGCGCTCCTGTTCCTCTTCGGTTTCCCCATCGCTGTTCATATTCCACATCTACTTTGACAGAGATTAGTGAATGATGAAAGACTGAAAATAAAGTAGGAGTTTCCTAGCCAAGAACATTCCACTTTTTGCTGAACTTCCCAATGATCGTGTTTGACCTGTTGTCCATCATGATGTGTGCATATAAAGGCACATGCAGATTGATGTGCGTGTGTGTGTGTGTGTGTGTGTGTGTGTGTGTGTCGGCAGAGAGAGGATCATCACTTTGCAGTTAAATAGGTTTCAACAGGACGTTTTGTTGTTCTAATCCCAACATTTGAGATGACATTGGAGTCTGCTGCCCTGACCATAAAGGTAAAACTATATCAGCCTGTAGCTGAAGTTACAAAATCATGGCACACTCTGAACGTTTGGTTATGTTGCTGTTGATTAGTTTACAGCTGTGTGTAAGGTCACTGGTAAAAAAGGTCAAACGGTTATATGGTGAATTTTAATGAAGTTGAAAGCCCACCTTGATTTATTTTGTGTTTTAATTTATATTTTGCTTTGTTATTAGTCTTTGTTTAAAGGTTTTAGATTTTCTACAGTTAATTCTGTTCAACTGCACACCCAAAATCAACATGCTGCTGTCATTTTCATGTCCTAAATCTCATGTCTTTCTTTTTATTCATCCATACATTGGAAGTCAGTGGTCACTGAAGTGTCACCATGTAGTTTTTATAAACATTATATTTAAGAATTTCTTCTTTTATTTAAAGAAAGTCAGAAGGGTTAGTAATTGAGGGTCAGCTTGTGTTGACTATTCCTATCTGAATATCACCCAAAACATAAACATCATTTCCTCACCCTCTACTTGTTCCAAACCTGATTGAATATCTTTCTTCTGCTAAACACAACAGATCTTGAAGGATGTTTCAAATGAGTAGCCAGTGATGTTTTGTTCATACAATGAATGTCAGCGGCTTCCCTTTTCCAACATTTCAACATACGAAGAGTTCAAACCTCTTAAGTGCCATTTGAAATCATCTTCTCAGCATTTTTTCTCAGCCTCCTATGTCTTGATTCAGTCCTTTCACTTTTATGGCAAAGAATAGATTTTTTCCATCTCTTCTAACATGAAATAACTGACCATAAACATAAGAGGCTGAAAAAAATGCTCATTGTGGAAGAAAATTACCGATGGCACTTAGAGGTTTTGGCATCTAAACTTTTCATATTCAACATAGAAAAAAAAACAGATTGGTTTGAGGATGAGCAAATGCTGAGTGAAATTTTCTATTTGGCTGAACGGTTGCTTTAAGATGTTGTGCCCATCTGCATCCCCATCCTTCAGTGAGGTAGACTCAGCCGTCTTTGCTCTCACTGTTACCACGGAAACCCCTCAATTATCACGCTTTGCCCCAAATACAAACCAGAAAGACTTCTCATCGAAAAGGTCTTCCCTTCCCTGTTTACAGTAAAGTGCTTCTTGACGCAGTGTGATAAACCCCACACACACAGAGCCTCGACGGGAAAGCGGTGAAGTCTGACAGACGTGTGTGTGTGTGAGAAACGCTATCCTAGTTCTGTCAGCTACTGTAGATTTTCAAAAGCCTGCTGAAAGTTAAGCAGACACCTGACAACATTTGTGTTGCATCCTTCTCTTTCATTTCTCTGCTTCTGCGCTCCCAGAAAACAGTTTTGAGGTGTGTTGTGTTCAGAGAGCCTGTCCGTTGAACCTTGACGATTGTTGCTATGCTTTTTGAATTTCAGATTTCAAAGCATATTTTTGGGCTTATCCACATAAAATAACCACATAATGTCTGAGCTGCTTAAGTGTTTCTTTTGTTGATTCGTGACCTAAGGTATGGGGTTTTTCAGTGTTGAATGCTGGCCAGTGCTTTGGTACACATACAGTAGTACTGCACTGGGATGGCGGATGTCGGAATGAATGTTTATGCGAGGTTTTTCTTATTCACAGGCTAATGCATTATGTTCTGCATTAATATGGAGACACTCTCTCTGCTTCTTTTGGCAAAGCAATTTATCTTAAAAATGAATGTCTGGCAGTGTCTCCTGAACCTGCTGCTTTGGTAAACAGTGTAACCTCGCAGCTCACTGGCCCAAAAAAAAAATCGACATCCTAGTGCTCGTTCTGTAAGAACAAACTCTCTTAATTTCTCTTTTCCTGCGAGACTGAGACAAATTACAGCAGTGGCTCTTATGATGGATTATGTACTTAACATGTTACTTTTTTTGTCTTTTTGTTGGTTTTTCTGTTCATTTTAGAAATCCATGTTATTAAATCTTTTTCTTTTAAAAATATATGTAAAAGCTGCATACTTGGAGTAACAATCCTGTATGTGATTTAAGTGGAATAAAATGACACAAAAACATGATGTGTTAATGTTTGTGTTTGGACAATGAAGAGGATTAATATGCACATGTAGTTGTTTAATTTTAGTGTGAAGTAGGAGATGCTCTTGATTTTATTTTTAATTCAAAGTCTCATGCAACGTTTAGATTAGGCATAAAACAATAACTGTTTTCAAGGTATACTGCTGTTTGGAAAAGTCATGGTTTTAAAACTGCCAAAATTTTCAGTTATACCCTTCCTACAGTAAATGTAAGATTTTTTTAGGAGTTTTTTAGGACAGCAGTATCTCCAGAAGAAAATATCTACAAATATGCTGTTTTATATTGTAAAGAAATCATTGATTTTGAAACTAATGAAGACAGCAGAAGTCAATGATTCATCTGAATATTTAGCCTGACATGTTTACTTCTCCAAAATATCTTAAATGTTTCTCGAAATAAAATATATTGTGTTCAAAGGGGAAAATTTTTTAGTTTTTTACCCAGACATTTAAAAAGATATTATTTTAAAGATTGTGATGCTGTGATATTTGTATTCATGGTTATCATCAGAATCCTATTGCCCATGCCAAGTCAAAGACTATAGAATAGGTTGTTTTCAAGAGATGTCATTGATGACGTGAAATTCAGATGGAGGGCAGAAAGTGGTTCTTCTACATAGTAATCACTATCAGAACATCAATATATTTCTGCTTTGTGTTGTTTATAATTGTTTAAATCGGCCAAAATAAGAAATTCGACCAGCTTTTATAGACTTCCAAAAGTTTTTGCTTATAAAGGGGAGAAATGTCAAGAAACTGGCTGAAAATTGAAAAAAAAAAAAAAAAAGGCGGCATGTAATAAAATTTTTTTTAATACATCCATGTGTACAAGCTTTTTTGAACATGATAATTGGTTTGGCAGCACCAATAAAAATTATATACAGGCCAAGCTTTGTGTATAAATATGTTAATGTGTTGTATAAAAATCAGCTACAAACACCAACACGCTTATACAAAAATCAGGTCTTTACTAGCGTTTCGGCAGAATAAATAGCTGTAACGTGAACATTAAGATGCGCAGCAGTGGTGAATGTTTGTTGATGGTAAGTTCCTTGACAAAATAAAAAAGAAATGTAACTCTTGCGACAATTACATGTTTATTATTGTGGAGCACTTTTCCCCCTTACAAAAATAAAAACAGAAATAATATAATGTAGACTACATGACCAATTTTGTATGCTTTCATCTGCTACTTCGTGATGTCTAGAAGATATCCACATGGAGAAAAACTATAGTCATTTATAATAAACATGTTTTTGAATCACATGTTAGTGTATAATGTGTTACAGAATACTGTGGTGTAGTTAACTAATAAGTACTGTAACGTTAGCATAAGCTGTGATGCATTGTGATTATAGTGTAGAAAACTAAAGCCTATTGATTAATTTGTTTACTACAGTTGTGTTGTACTACAGCAACAATATAATTACTACGTCAATTTAATTATTTTTTTTATTTAATAATTTTTTTTTTAATTTTCAGTTTTTTGCTTCCTGCCCTCCATCTGATTTTAACATGTCACCAGCGATTGAAAACACAAGATATATTGTATTTTGAATGTGGAAAAGTGTAACGTCAATACGGTGAATAAAGTCCGCCTTCTAGTACAGGAGCCAATCATCGATCGCTATACGGTAGACTAATTATATTCCGTACACAATGATGTTCCGTACAGATTACCTTTTAACACTAATCTCTGACTGAATAGTTATGGGTCGTAGACGAGCTTTAAATCTGTGTAGTCTTTGTGTCTCACTCTTTCATCCCCGACCACAACAGAGACTCCCCTACCAAATGTTTCCAAAAAATTCTGTAAGTTTGCTACACCCACCTAATGCGCTTAATAATGAATAGCGGGCAAGCTTAAGGTGCGAGTGTCGCTTGGGAGGGAAAATATTTAGAGCAAGGACAAAATGCATTTAAATTTAATTTATGCATAAATAACCTTTTGTTGAATAAATGCTTTGAAATGGAGATATTTGAACATCAGTTGTGAGTGATGCACATTTTGTGTCAATTGGACGTTTAGAATTAAACTAAAGACACAGTTGTTGTTTAATTTTGTTGGTGATTCCTAATATGAAATTTAATGGTAAGCTTGGCAAGCAATTTTGGAGAATTGGATGTTTCCCTATTCAAACAGAATGCCCGTTTCAATGTGTATTTCAATGTATTTCATTTATTAAATCCATCTTTTTATTGCATCAGTCAGACACTCCGCTACATGTTAGCATTGTTGCTCCCAAGCTGACCTCAGATCAGTGCAGACTGCTGTGGGATTTTGCCTCTCGGGTGTGTAGATTATACATGGATGATTCCAGAACTGTGAGTGAGGCGAGGCAGAGATAGTGTGCTGTGATGGATAGCTTAAATCCGACTCTGCGAGACCATTTGAATACAAAGTCCTGTGATAATGATCAGTCACTTCATGCTAATATTCTTAAACCTGCAGAGCATCTTTAGGGATGCGCTATAGAAATATGACGGTACGATGATTTATTTCAAGATCGTTAATTGTTTATCTGCCAGGTGGAAATGGTTTGGAGAGATGTGGTGAATAGGAATGAGATTTCCATTAGCTGGTGCAAAAGCCACATATATCATGGAAGCAGTTTCAAGAAGAATGATCCTCCAAGGTTTTTTTTCCCTGTCCTAAATGGGATCTGGGCATTAAAAAAAATAAATGAATAACAGGCTCTATTCTTAGGACCGGTGCTGTAATTACAACCTCTCTCTGGTGCTCATAAATAGGTGATACCAGATGACCTAACTGTTACAAATATCAATTTCATGGTGTAAAATTCACACACACACACCCAAACACTTTATTTAGGAAACATGTGTGAAAGCAACCGCCAAACTAATGTGAGGCTCTGTAGGCAACATGCAGTGAGCAATGTGAGAACATTCGGTGCTTTAGGCTTCAACTGAAACTGTGCGGTGGCTAATTGCTGTTATGGATTCAAGACAGCAGAGGGCTCATTAAAAGAGAAAGACTCCTGAGAGGAAGGAAGGAGGAGAGAGAGGGCCATGTTCATACACCATTCTTTTACACACATGCATAACAAGAGGTCAAGGTTTAGCAGGACTGCGTGAGGCAGTTAGCCCCTGCTGGCCGACAGTGTTACTACACATGTCTGGTTCCCAAATGTAAATTTTTCATAGATTGAAAGTGATTAATGGCCACTTTTTTTAGGTACACTATTCAAGTATTTGTAAGTTTGACCTATTTTTGCCTCCAGAACAGCCTTAATTCACTGGTGCATTGGTTCAAAATGGTGCTGGGAACATTACTAACAGATTTTGGCCCATATTCACATACATATATATACATACATATATATTTATACATATGTACATACATATATATACATATTTATATATATATACATATATATGCATATATATATATATACATATATATATATATATATATATATATATATATATATATATATATATATATATATATATATATATATATATATATATATATATATATATATATATATATATATATATATATATATATATATATATATATATATATATATATATATATATATATATATATATATATATATATATATATATATATATATATATATATACACACACACACATAAATACATACACATACATATATACATATATACATACATATACTGGCCGACAGTGTTACTACATATGTCTGGTTCCTAAATGTAAATTTTTCATAGATTGAAAGTGATTAATGGCCACTTTTTTTAGGTACACTATTCAAGTATTTGTAAGTTTGACCTATTTTTGCCTCCAGAACAGCCTTAATTCACTGGTGCATTGGTTCAAAATGGTGCTGGGAACATTACTAACAGATTTTGGCCCATATTCAAATACATATATATACAGCACTATATAGTATATACGATATGTACTATACATATATATACATATATATATATATATACATATATATGTATATATATATATATACATATATATATATATATATATATATATATATATATATATATATATATATACATATATATATATATACATATATATA